TAAAATAATAATAATATTAATATTAATAATAATAATAATAATAATAATGATAATAATCATTTAATTTAACCAAACAATCGAAATTCAATTATTAAAATTTTTGTAATTTTTTTTTTTTTTTTTTTTTTTTGTACATATGCCTCCTCCCTCCTCCCATCCTAATAGTTCCCTCCCTTCCTCCTCCTCCTCCTTCCCCTTAATAGTCCCGTCCCTTCCCCCTCCCCCCGTAATGTCCATTTAAACTTTCAACTTAATTTTAAACGTTTAAATTTATTATGTATATATATATATATATATTAACATAAACATATAAATAAATAAATAAATATATATGTATATATTTATGTATTTTTTTAAATATTTTTTTTCGTTTGAAAATTCCACTAAAATAAAAAACTAAATATAAAATATTATATCTAAGTAACAATTTTTCCTCTCTTTCTCTCTCTCTCTCTCTCCCTCTCTCTCTTTCTCTAAATTTTATTTATATATTAAGTAATTTTGTAATAACCGTGTTGCCATTGCGTGTGTCGGCATTACAACTTAACAAACTACGTTAAATAAAGACAAAAAATAAAAAGAAAAAAGATACAAAAAAAAAAAAAAAAAAAATGAAAATTTTAGTATTGAATACTCTAATTACTTATCCTTATTATGTATCCCCACCCGAATAACAAACACAACAAAATATATTTTCCTTTGATTCATTATCATTATTATTTCTTATTTACAGTATATATGTATAAATATATATTTCAGCAAAAAAAAAAAAAAAAAAACTTATTCGGTTGTAATCGGGTTAATAACCTTTTTTTTTATTATTATTATTATTATTAACGCGACACACCTTGATGGCAGTAGCGAAGCTCCGCGCTTTTCTTTTTTTTTTCTGTTGGTTAATCTCCTTAGCAAGAGTTGTTAATCGATCATGAGTTCTAAATGTACGGATCCCACCCTGTCTTGTCGGTTGTGTTTTATGTTCTTCGCCCATGCTTTACATTCAATGTTAATTATTATTCCACCTGCAAAAAAAAAAAAAAAAAACAAACATGGCGGTTGAAAGTATGCATGGGGATTTCACGGGGGGGGGGGGGGGAAAGACAAAATATTTCTTCTTACTTCTAGGATTGCTGATGTGTATGGCCGTGAGAGGGCTCAAATAACCTTCAAAATTTTCGAATGGGAAAAAATACCCAGGGAAACCGTGCCTGGGAATGTAAGTGACGGGTCCTAAATTTTCAATGTCTGCCGGATTTTCTCCCTCGCAACTCACCCATATTGTATTCAACTAAAACGAAAAAAATCAAAATCAAAATTAAATTTTCAAACGAACCTTTTTTCCGCCCCCCCCCCCCCACTTCCCCCATTTTTCCCTTACTTCGTGCGGTTTCGTTCGTGCCACTTCCGAAATGTGTTTCTTAAGCTCTTCCGGCATTTGTTCCGGTAGATTGTCCGTCGTGTTATAATATTCAGGTACCCATCCGTAAATCTGTAAAACAACTCACTTTAACAAACCTTTCCTTTAAAAAGGATTACAAAAAAGGGGATGTTTACAAACCTTATTCAATTTCAAAAATATACACGGAGCCGCTTTGTGATAATTAAAATAATTATCCGCCGTGCATGGATCCCAATTTCGTATGTCGACATCGCAAACTTGACCGGGTCCCGGTTTTCTCGTGTAATCGCAATTGTATATGTTTTGACCTCTTCCAGGTGTCAAACCAGGTGTTCTATAAACTGAAAATCATTTTTTTAATAAAAATTAAAATTAAAAACAAATAGTGCCGCCGGAGAAGGAGGGAGAGGGGGCGTGGGGAGAGGGAGGAGGTAGAGGGGCGGCGGCGGGGAAAAGAGAGAGAGAGAGAGAGAAAAACGTCGCGACCTTGACATAAATGCAAACGCGTATAAATCGCGAGTCAAATAAAAAGTAAAAAATTTTCCCCCTCCCCCTCACCCACCCCGGGGGATTCCCGGGGACTGACCGCGGTAAATTTATAAATAGATTACCAAACACTATCTTCTTCTTCTTCTTCTTCTTCTCCTCCTCATAATAATAATAATAATGATAAAAACGCGCGAGATTTCGGTTTATGTTCTATCGGACCCTTTTGCAATTTACCCACGCACGCACACGCACAACATTCGTGGTTGTGCGTGTGAGAATCTTTAACCACGGAGGAATGACGTTCGTTTTGAAAGCGCAAGAATTTTTGACCTAAAATTTTTTTTTACTTTCTCCTTTTCTCGCCGACATTTTTTTTTTTTTTTATTTTACTCATTAAATTAATTTTGGCGATGTGTGAATGCGTGAGTGATTGCGTGAGTGCGTGAGTTGTGCGTGCGCGGACGATGCGTGTCTGGTTGTTTTTGTTGTTTTCTCGTGCGCGTGTTATTTTTCAAACATCTGCTTCTCTTCTTCTTCTTCTTCTTCTCATCTTCTTCTCGTTTTCTTTACGTCACAACACATCGGACGCGTCTTCAAGATGGCCATGGCATATTTCCAATCTTTTCTTTCTTTCTTTCTTTTTTAAAATTCGTTTTTTATTAAAAGTATAAAATCGTTACGTCATCAATTAAAAAAATTTAACGTCGTCTCGTTCGAAAAAAAAAAAAAATTTCCCCACCCCCTCGGATTTTAAATGGAGAAGGGGGGGGACAGCAAAGTAATTTTAAAGGGGAAATTCAAAAATAATAATAATAATAATAATCGTTTCCGTCGAAAAAAAAAAACGTTTTGCCCCGTCTGTTAAATTTTACCTTCTAAAAATTCTTCCAAACTTTTGACCCAATATTTATAATTTTCTCTATCCGTTCCCTTGTACCAAATGAGAGTACTTTCGACGTTTCCGGTATCCGGCATAGGTCTGAAACCTAAACCTGAAAAAAACCAAAAAAAAAAAAAAAAAAAAAAACGTATTAATTTTTTCAATCGATTTATGAAGACCGTTCCTAAAAACGCGATTATTACAACACACTCGAGTGTTAATAAAAAGAAATGAAAAAAAAAAAAAAAGGTCAAAGGTTAATTTGAAGTCACTGGGTTTTTTTTTTTTTTTTTTTTTTTTTTTTATTACGAGGGACTTTTTTAAACGTTAGAGTTCACGTATCGAACTCATTTTTTTTTCTTTTCTTCTGCTTTGTCAACTTCAAAAGTTGGCGTACCTGTTGCTGAGGCATCTCCATCGCTGAGGCGAGGGGAAGGAGAGGAGGGGGTAAGGGGAAGGAAGGTAGGTAGACAAGTCGATTATAGATTTCTCACCTGGATTAGTTCCGATTAGGGATTCGTCGAGCTTCCATTTGGGTATCCTGGGATCCAGAGTTTGAAAGAATACCCACATGCAAAATGCGAACAAAGCCATAAGAACTATGTAGAATATTATGTAAAATATTATTATTTGAGCTGAAACAAAAAAATAAATAAATAAAAATTTATTAATAATTTTTCTTTTTTTTGTATAATGTGGGAAATTTAAAAATAAAAATAAAAAAAATTGTTTTTTTGCCAACGTGAGGGGGAGGGGGTAGAGGGAGGGGAGGAAAAAATAAAAAAATTAAAAGACGATTTGACGGTTTTTTGATTTGATGTTTAAAGACTCCAAAAAAAAATGAAAAATTTTGCAAACCATAAAAAGTAGCAACGTGATTCACTCAAGTGTCCCCCCTTTAAAAGTAGTCGTTTGGGGGGGGAGGAGGAGGAATGTACAAAATGAGGGGATTCCCCGTTGTCCTTACGACGTGAAATTGTATATCGTTAAAGCCACGACGACGACAACAATCGTTTGTTTGTTATGTGAAAGAGACCTTAAATCAATACAGATGTTGTTTTTATTACGTTTGCCGTAAGGAAGAAAAAAAAAAAAAAGATGGCGGGTGGAGTACGTTCAGGTACCTAACCCTTCGCTCTCCCTCCCTCTTCCCCTTTTTAATTTTTTCCCTCTCCACCTCGTTCGTTCGTTCGTGTTTGTTTGTTTGTTTTTTTGGCTCAGTTTTCAAAAACGAATTCGTTTCTTTTTTTTTTTTTTTTTCGCAAGGCGAAACACCAAATTTAAATCTTAACTATTTTTAAATCGATAATTTGGAAGACTTATAAAATATTATAAAAAAAATAAAATAAAATAAATCTACGCCAAAAAACCAAAAAAAAAAAAAAAAAAAAAAAATTTCAACGGCGACGACTCCCCACCCGATTTTTTTTAAAAATAATTAAACAGGTGACGATTTTTCGTTCATTCAATCATTTTTTTGTGTTTCTTATTAAAAAAACGCGCGTACAAAAAAAAATTAATATTTATAACGCGTGCGTTTCCCATTCTAAAAATAAAAAAAAAAAAAAAAACCCCAAAGATTTGAATAAAACGCGTTTTCGTCGTCTGTGTCATTCCTATACATTTATTTTCTTCATTCCAGTCGTGTAAATAGAATCGACCGCCATTTTATTTTTTAAAAAAGAAAATCTAATGCTTTTGAACCGTCATAACGAACGAGTCATGATAATTAAACTTCCGATTATTATTATTATTATTTTTTTTTTTTTTTAAAGACAAAACTCTCGATTACTATGTGGGTTGAACGTTCCTCTCAACTTATCTCTTATAATGTAATTAAATACGTACGCAGCGTTACAAAAATAAAATAATAATAATAATAATAAAATCACCCACAGAAAACAGGTACGCCGCGCACGCACGCACTCACGCATACAAATCAAACGCTCGGCATGTTTTCAAGTATGTGTGTGCGTGTGCGTATATGTTTACACGTAATTGATTATCAAAAATTAACAACTTTTACGCGATAAATCACGCAACACAAATTCGACGGCCCCCGACGGGACCTCGAAGGAAAATTACATTTATATGCAAAAATATTAATAATGGAAAAAAAAAAAAATGAAAAGTAATTTCGCGATCGTAACCTAAATTTTTTTACTCCTAATTAAAATTTTTACATTTTTCTTGTTTTGGTTTTTAATTAAGGCCCTCCCCACTTCCCCCCCAAAAAAAAAATCGCTTTGACCTTACGCCCTTTTACCTTAAGCAAAAAAAAAAAAAAAAAAAAAAAATTCAGCATCTTTGGTACAATCGGTCGGTCCCCCCCTGCGAGTAATAAAAAAAAAATTTATCATCATCATCATCATCATGTATTCTCCTCCTCCTATTTTTATTACTTGCATGATTATCGACAATTATTATCGATCGATCGATCTATCGATTTATCGATCGTAATCAAAACATTTCACATCGCATTGAATTCTCCTCCCGCGCCTCCGACTCCGCCCCCGCCCTCCAACTTTTTCTCAGCTACGGTAATAAAAAATAAAAAAAAAAAAAAAAGAAAAAAAAAATCGAAAATGGCCTTCGGGGTATTTTATTAATGGTAATAATAATAATAATAATACCACGGGCACAAATACACACACATTTAATAAATAAATAAATAAATATTTCGCAGTAATAAATCCACGGGGGGGGGGAGAGAGCGGAGAGCGAGAGCGGGGGCGGAAGGGAAGGGGGAACAAGAAATTAATTATTAAATGGTGGGGAAAAAAAAATCAAAATTTCATACGGACGTCTCACAAAGAATTTTTCTTCTCCTTAATTATTGAAAAATTCCACCGTAAATTCCAAAAAATTCTTTAAAACTTCCATCTCGCGATCGTGACGTCGATGACGATGATGTATGATCGTAATAATAATAATAATAATAATAATAATAATAGTAATAATAATAATAAATGTTTACTCTCTTATGTACCGACTGACAAAAAGGTGTGATAGAAAAAAAAAAAAAAAATTAATTTTTATTAATATTATTTCTACGATCCCTTTCCGATTATTATTATCATCATCATCATCATCATCATCATCATTATCATCATCATTCGTACGCAATTATTAGAA